AAGTCTTCCCTCCCGAGATGTCTCTCGGCCAAGGATGTGGCTTTTATTTCAAATTACAAGTCTTCCTTCCCGAGATGTCTCTCGGTCAAGGATGTGACTTCCTAATTACATCTCTCCTCCCGAGACGTCTCTCGGCCAAGGATGTGACTTCTACAAGCCTTCCCTCCCGAGAAATCCTCTCGGTTAAGGGTATGACTATTTCAAGCCTTCCACGCGTTAAATCCATATAAATTAAATTACGTTCGGCAAATTTGTTATATCGATGTTCGCTCAGAAACACTTTGATAAAAGCAATAAATTGCATTGAAAAGACATAAGGGCTCCAACGGCCCGGAATTACAAAAGATTAACAGGGCACTATCGGACCCGGCATACAAATTTATAAAATAACCCTAAGCCTGTGCCTCGGGCTCCCCTTGGGTCGCAGGCTCCTGCTCGGCCACTTCCTCCTGCACATGGTCGTCGCCACTCGCTTCGGCCTCAGGGCGAACAGGAACTTCAGTGTCCGGCTGCTCATTCGACGGGATTTGGGTCAGATTGACATATTTCCCCCGATAGAAGTCCATGGTCATATCAAATTGAAAGTCTAGAGGCAAACTTCCAAAATGTCGGGCTTGTCGAGCCGCTTGGGCGAAGCCGGCTTCATGCTGAGAGAGAACCTTGCTCCTGGCCCTCTCCCGGTATGTGTCGAAGTCCTTCTTCTCGGCTTCTAGCGCCGTTAGCAACGTAGCCGACTTCTCAACCTCGGCCTTCAGAAGATTCTCCAATCGTTGAACCTTCAAGGTCAGGTCATCATTCTGACGGCTCCGACGGTCCGGCTCCGCTTCACATTTCTTACCGTGCCCTTGTGCCTCAGATAAAGCCGCCAAGGTTTCCTGCACGGACTTTTCCGACTCGGCCAGTTGTCGGCGCAGCCCGTCGGCCTCGGCGTTCGGTTACATCATAATACTTTGAGCCAAAGCCAAGGCCCGAGCCTGCAACTCACAGAAAAATGTCCACTTGTGGGACGAAGTCATCTGTCCCAGTATGGATTGTCCCATCTTCGAAGTCAGATCCTGACTCAAGTAGTCTTGGGCACTGACATTCGAGGTCAGGAAGCTGGGACTCACAAGCCCCTGAGGGGCCACAAGCGCGGGCACCCTCTGTTGCTTTTGCCGGCGCGCCTCAGCCTCGGCCTCAGCCCTTCTCTTGTTCAATTTCACCCTGTGAACATCCTGGTTGCTCTTCTCCCTCGGCTGCGACTGAGGCCGAACCGTCTCACGGGCCGGAGCCCGGTTCTCTCCATGTGGAGCCGATTGCTTTGCAACTCGGCCTTGGTTCAGGTCACGAATATCCAAGCCGTCATTGTAGCTCGCCATGATACCTGCACCAACACTAGTCAAAATCAATGGCAACGAAGGAATTCAAATAAAGGACAGACACTATACCAATTAAATCATCAACAGGTTGGGCTGATTTCGTAAGACGAACGAGATCTCGGCACGGCAACGGCCGTGGCAGCGTCTCCAACACTTCCAAGTTAGCTTTCTCCTCAGTAGACATCTTGGACTTCGACACCACGTCATATTTTCTCGGCGCCCGAGTCCAATATAAAGGAAACAAGGCATTTCCTGCATCATCAAAAAAGTACTTGTTGCCGTTTTCTGGCCGAATCATCACCTTAAAGAATCTCACTTTGAATCCTTTATAGGAGGTCGTGAACGGCTGAAGTAAACAATGCTCCGCCCGAACCAACGACAGCCATTTTGCCTTCTTCGTAGGCCGAGACGAGTAAAAGTACAAGAACAGATGGGGAGTCGGCTCGATACCAAGTGTCAAACACAATTGCCGAAACCCTTGCATCACGGCCCAGCTGTTCGGATGCAACTGGGTCGGCGCAACATTGAGCAAACGGAGCACACCCATAAAAAACTTGTCAAAAGGAAGAGTCACCCCCAAATCACGAAACAAGTAATCATACACAAAAAAGAAGTGGTATTTACACCGCCCTCGGCCAAGAAACACAAAATCCGATTCCCATGATCCGTCGTTCCGGCATGGATCGAAGAAGAAATCGGATGGAACCTCATTCTCAGGAAGAGTAACAAAGTTCTCCGCGTCGAATAGCACAGCAATCGAACTCTTATCGGTATACCGAGAAAATACACTGCCCAACTCCCCATGTACCCATCTATAACCAGGAACTTCTATAGGGCCGAATTGACGAGAATCCGGACCGGCTCGGCGAGTATTCGGTCGGCCCTCAATCATCTCGAGGGAAGACGCTTCCTCCGCCCTTGGCGACTGCTCAAACCCCTCGATAATTTCTATACTAGTCAATTTCTGTGTTGCCGAATCCGAAGCTTCTCGGTGAGAAGACTCACGCGAACCCACCTCGACAGAGATAGCTTTACTACTTCCAGTGGAACCTGCCTCGGAAACCCTATCCTCTACATCTATATTTAAATCAACCATCGAAACGTACCTTAATCGGATGTCGGCCTCGGTCGGTAACTCGCACCCAAAGTTGATCTTTGCGTCGACTCGGAGCACTTGCACACTACAACTAAGTAAACACGCTAAGACTTGGTCCCCACCACCCCTATTTATAGTACTTTCAAAAAAATGGATAACTGCTGCTCTCATTAGAACCATTGAATCAAATTGATCTAACGACCCACAAGCTCCAACTCTTCAAATCTCCTTCATTATTACCCAACGGTTATAACCTTCCATATTCCAACGTGTATTCCCAACGATTATAACCTTTCATAGTCCCACGATCATTACTCAACGCTTACGACTTTCCCCATTCCTACAATTAATACTTAACAGTTACAACTGCCCCCTTCACATCAACTGTCACAACTGAAAAGACAACTCTACCCTTTGCGTCGTTACACTCCTCAAGGTTGGGGGGCTTGTGTACCGGAAGGGTCCTGTCGGCCACGTGGATCGGCCACGTGGATCGGCCACGTGGACCGGCACGTCATGTCCTATCAGATCAGATATCACTTCGGCTCGGCAAGGGACCGAGAACCACATCCTTCCCCTGTCAGCTCGGCCAGACGCCGAAGACGACGTCTCGACCGTTTCATATCGGCTTGGCTAAAGGTCAACAGAGACAATAATTAGAACGGCGATCATGATTAACAAGGGACAAAGCACAATTAAGGCATAACCCGCCGATTAACATCGTATTACCTAATTTGGTAAGTGTCAGAGAAGGCCCACCACGTTCAGGCCCATGTCAGGTCTTATAAATAGGTCACACGTAACGAGGTATGTCACTGTTCATTTATTACCCTAGAAAATCGTGTTTATCCTGACTTGAGCGTCGGAGTGCCTTTTGCAGGTACCTCCCCCCCCTCTGAAGAATCTACCTGAAGCTCCCGTTCGGCCCTCTCACACCCCAGAAGATTACGAGTGTGCCCTCAGACAGGTACAAAAAGGATTTTAATTATTGAATTTTGTGTGATTGATTCATTATCTACATTTGGGCATAACGATAATTAATTTTATCAAATTACAGCTCTAGAAATTAATTTTAAATTTGATAAAAAAAAATACTATTTGAGAAGACAAAACATATTTAATCCATCTCAATTGTTTACTGCTTGTATCAAAACAGTAACTTATTAACTGAAGCTAACAGGAGAGCATTCCATAACAATAACAATACAAGTAATATGACACTACTTTGGATAATAAGTCATCCCACAATACATTACACAATTAAACTCATTGGAAGGAAAACACACAAATCTTCGACTTTGTTGAAACGTAAAAAATTTCAACCAATCCTCCATGTCATCATTGAAACATGAAAAGGCAGAGTTTATAAACATGACATAGGAGTAAAACCCTAATTTATTTATGCTATGTATTCTTTGTTCCAGCTGATTTATTGGATCAAAATAACGGCCATACGCCAATGAAACATATAATTCAAATAATTAAATCTATTTATATTTATTGTTAAATGAACATGCGATAAAATTTCATATATCAGCGAGCAATACTCGGGAAAGGTGCTTGCCTATCAATATAAGATGAGTAGGCATTCTCTCATTAACAGTGATAACAGAACAACAGATATGACATTTAAAAACCACAAGGTGGAACATTAAAAGTGAACTAAATCATAGGTTCAAAAGACATATTTGTTGAAGGATACCATTGCTTTTATTAAATAAATAAATAATAGATTAAATTATATTTTTTAACTTATTTTTAAGATTCATTTTAGTCTTTTATCTTTAAAAGAATTATTAAGATTCTTTATCTTTTAAATTTAAGTTAATTTAATCATATAAAAACACTAATTATTTTCAAATTTAAGACATAATTTTAAATTTTATGACATAAAACTTACCTCATTAAATTTGCTCGCATGATAATTATAGAACTCAATTGATACTCAAAGCAAAACAAACTTCATAACATGTTGAAAAATCACATTGAAAAATAAATTTCACGAGCAACTAGAAAAATAAAATAATATTAGTTTTTTATTTTTCAATTGTTCATTAAACTCATTTTCATCATACTTATATTTTTTTTTTTTTTGGTTTGGAGATTAGTTGAGATTAATAGTTTTCATATTAGTTCAATGAGCCAAATATCACATTTTGAATATGTCAAAAAAATATTCAAAATTATGTTATAAAATCGAAAAACATCCTTTTAAAAGAACCAAATATACCTAATTTTAAAAAATAAATGACTAAAATAAATATTTTAACAGATAATTAAAAAAATTATAATTTAGTACAAAACCATTAAAATGATCAAGCCTACACCTTTAATGAGAGACATTCATATGATCCAGGCTACACCTTTAAAGTATGTTAGGATGGCGAAGGGAGGGGAATACAAGGTTTTATGTAAACCTTGGTCGTCTAGGAATTTTATCAAACAAACCGAAGTTAACGAGAGACATTCATATGATTCCTCTAAAATAAAACCCTCTCTTACTCACATCTGTGGCATCGTAGATGTGTAGAGTTGGAAAGACGTTATTTAGAAAAAAGCGCAACGAAAATATCATTTATTATGGAGTCAAAATTCAGGGAAGTAAAATTGCAGGAAATAGTTAACAAGGGAGGTGGATTACATACAATACAACAACAGTGCAGACGATTATTTATAGTTTTATAATAATGAAGGGAGGCATACTAAACAAGGTCAAATTCATCTTCCTTGAGGTGGGCAAAGAACTTGACAGGACCACGACCTTGGATGTCGGTGACAAACTGCACTTTGTAAGGAAGATTCGCGGAGATTCGCTTACCGTTCCAGAGCCCAACGTACTGCTTGATCTCACCTTCCATACCCGTAAGGTCAAGCTCGCCAATTTTGGGAACGTGGTATACCTTCAAAGGCACCTTCACCTTAACCCGCGCTCCAATCTGTAACGTCGTCGACTCTTCCACCGCGTTAATAGCAACCTCGCACCTAATAATATTGCTTTTCGCTGCTCGAATTGCCATCGTCGCCGTCTTCTTCATCGATGAGTAATTGCAATTGCAATTGCAATTGGGGGAAACGCTGACCGCCATAGCAGCCGTTAGCCTTAGGGCACCCGCACTAGTGCTGCAGCAGCTCATCTTTTTTCCTATCACTCTTCTTTTGTGCTGCTTTCCTTTCTTTTCTATCTTCGATTCATTCCTGCTCTCTCCGCTTAACCTCCCAAAATTTGTACAAGATAAATAATTTCACTATCTAATATAATTAATAAATAATTATATTTTTGTAACCCCGTCCAAGAGGACACGTGACTCATTCTCAAACACACCTACAATATCATTATCCCTATTCTTCCCTCCCTCTTCTCCTCTACTTTCGCATTTTGTCATTATTCTTATCTTCCGAGATTTCTTTCCACGTTAAGTCTCTTGTGAAATTGAGACACCCAAATAAATAAATATATAAATATATATATATATATATATATGAGTTAATCACCTATATACTGTTAGTGTAAAGTTTTTTTACATTGACAATCAATTATATTTCTTAATTGTGTCATGTCACTGTTAAAAAAGAATATATTTACAGTGACATGGCACAATTAAGAGACATAATTAGTTGTCAGTATAAAAAAATTTTACATTAACAATGTATAGGTGATTAACTATATATATATAAAGGGGGTTCAAACGACACCGGTGTAACTTTTACTAAGTGTTACACCGCTCAATAACTTTATATTAAATGTGAATTTTAAAAATCCAAGCGTTAGATTGAAAGTTCATATCTCTTAGATCATATATACCAAATTTTGTTAAAATTGAATAACAATTTGAAGGTAATCAAAGTGTTCATATTTTAGTATATTTTGAAATGTATATATTACGTCAATTTTATTTTATGAGAATGAAGTATCAAATCATCTTAGATTAATGTAAAATTTGATATATATGATCTAAGAGATATGAACGTTCAATCTAACGATTGAATTTTCAAAATTTACATTTAAATAAAGTTAAAACTTAGTAAAAGTTATACCAGTGTCGTTTAAACTCTCCTCATATATATATATATATATATATATATATATATATATAATATGAGTTAATTACCTATACACTGTCAGTGTAAAAATTTTTTACACTGGCAACCAATCATATCTTTTAATAATATCATATAAGTTGCTTATTTAATAAAATAAATAACTTTAAAAGATATGATTAGTTGCACTGACAGTATATAGATAATTAATTTCCTATATATATGTACTCTGAATATTTTCTGTCTGTACAAGTGTAATAAAAGTAACACTATTTTAATGGTGTCTTTCTCTTCCATTCCAATAATATTATTTTATTTTTGTAGTCAAATACTTCCTGTAGTATTTTCTTAAAAATAAAGTGCTTTATTTTCCTATTTTATTTTGAGTGGAGACTCGTAAAAGAGGAAAAAAGAATGAGATAATAAAGAAATGATAAAATAAAAAGGAAAAAGATGCTTAGATAAAGATCCACATACTCGTTATTCGTCTTGCAGTTTAACTGATTAAACGGGCCCGAAGATATTATCTTTGGCCATCGGAACTCTAGTTTTTACCACTGTTTTATAATTTATGGAACCTGTTGAAATACTCATAATGGATTTCTACATAAACATTCGTACCTCGCTCACCATTGATTGATGCTGAATGGTTGATCACTTTTAAGTGTTTTTTAAATCCAAATATGCTTTGTGTAAGATGAAAATTAGTATGAACTTCGAAATCGAATGTAGGCCCGACACCTTCTCGACTTTTACACCATGTCTAGAACAGTAAATGGACGAGACCAAACATGACAACCAGATATTGAGAATCAGGGTGACAATCAAAAGCTTTGGATTTGAGAAAATCAATTGATCAATTCGAGGAAATGGTGATCAGCAATACATTCAGCCTCTTGTTGCAGGAAATGCACAAATGTGTAGCTTGTTTCTGTTTTTTTTTTTCATTTTTTATGAAAACAAAATAAAGACAGGTAAACAAGCGACAACAGATACATATAACCGGAACAAAAGATTTACAAAGCTCAGCTGTTACAGCGATGGGGAATTTGCAAGACAAATTGGGTATCTGGACTCATGAGAAGGTACATGAACATCCCAGAACCCATGAAAGAATTGAAAAGAACTCAGTTATCATATACGAAAGCGACCAATAAGCCTGCACTGTTCTGGAAGCAAAGAAGAAATTACTTGTCCACTGAGTGGGAAAAACTCACCATCAATACCACATCCACGGTGAGTGTGCTTCCCAGGCTTTATCCTCACAGACTTTACCTACATCCAAAGGGACGCAGCATTTAAACAAATTGAACAGATACAGATGCACAAATTACCAGGATAAAAGAGAATGCGTAGCTTCTGCACACTAAATAACATAGCTACATATGCCGGCCAAGACATCGCTCTAACAAATTCAACTACACATGTTACACTGTTTAAAACTAATCAAAGTTGTCAATTATAGCCTTCCGAAAATTAAGGCAAAAGATTGGAATATATACATAGTTACATCATTAAAGGTAATTTTACTAGAGTGCAGTCATCAGAATATAGCGTGAAAAATAATTAAGCAGTGATTTTCAACAGAGTTTCATCGAAATAATATTGAAATAAAACAACTATAAATGCTATTACCTTGATATATTCTACATATGGCAGTGAAAGATGTCGACCCATTTGTAGAAGCACGAAAAATCTCAACAGCCTCAGCCTTCCACTCCCATGAACCAGGAGCAAATCTAGTGTGTTATCATCGTGCTCAGCTTTGGGAGCAACCACCTGAGAGCTCTGAACAGTTCTACATGCGTGGTTGCAAACCAGAATGCCAAGAAATTGTCCCTTTGAGACAACCCATTTATCTCCAAAACGAGGTGCAACCTCCTTCACAGAGCCTATTTCTGTATCATCTGATGGTCCCGGCAACTCAATTGGGTTTTCCACGTCCCAATTAGGTTCGGCATCCCATTTTGGTTCAGCATCCCAAATAGGACCTGGATCAGACAGTGTTGATGATATATCCTCCCTATCATTTGTCGCAGTATTTCCCCATCTAGAGGTATCATGTGTTGTGGTCAATCCAGTCCATCCTTTATCATTCCTTGACTTAGATCTGGTTCTTGGCCAATTTGGAGTTGTTGAAAGAGGCAGCTGCGGATGGATAACTTCTGGCTCTGCTGTTACAGTGCCCCTTCCAGACGATAGGCGTTTGGACTTTGGATCTAAGCCGCGCACTAATTCAGAAGGTTCAGTGCTCGCATGGGTACTACTACAGGTATCCAGGTCTCCACCAGATATACGACTTGGAGTCATTATTGAGTCAATACTTGAAAGACTAGATGCTCTGGGCATTCCATCCTTATTCGATCTGCTCATGATGTCAGTATACAGATCTGACATGTCAACTACTTCCTTTTCACCAGAAAGCTTTCCTTCTCTCTCATTTTTTGAAGCAGGAAGATATTCAACTTCATAGCTGTAGCGTGGTAAGCACAGAAACTTGAGGAATCCAGCAACAAAATACCGCAGTGGGCCAAAGCGCTTCTGATATTTTTCAGAAAGTTCCAACACTGAAAAACACATAAAACAATTAGTTCCCATTTGAAACTTTAATAATAGTATCACTGCATTCGTCAGCTGCCTTTAAGTTCAAATGCTAAATAAAGGTTCTATTTTCTCCTAGCGTTTCCTTTTCTCATTTTATTTTCTCACATTTTTCAGTCACCACCAAGTGCCCATTGTTAAAATATCATTAGGGTTACAAACTTCCAAATGTAAAATTGGTCAATAATGGCAAATCTTCAAAGAGAGCCGAAATGCGGGCATCCAATCCCTCCATTCTTCCTAATGAACCTATCCCTTAATTTCTTCGGTCTCCACCCCCAACCCACAATTTTACTAACTGTCAGACTTGTCCATGTGTACTGCAGATAAGAGTTCATATAACTATCCTATTAATTGCCAAAAGATCCTATCAGCTTCTAAAGAGAAAAGGCTTTAATTAAATAGTTTATCAAAATAGAACCATTCAGGAAACTTCACATAGAACAATTGGTTTACATGGTACTAAACCTCTAGGACTAAGTGGTCAAGAATTAAAACATTGCCTGGCCCATTTTCCAAAATTGAATTTCAACACATGGTGAGGTGGACCTGTGCATCGCTTATGCTTCAAGCCCAAAGGAATCTTGTGTGGGGAGCCATGTTAGAGATAAAAATTATTCATAAACCTTCACCCAGTAGCTTAAGCTTCTGGGATGGTTGGTTTGTGACAATAAATTCAACATTAAGGCTACAGTAATGCAAATTTTATACACTGCATTGACTTACCATCACTAACAAAACCATAATACGAGACTGTTAATCCATAGTGAATTTTATTAGTCTGAATCCATTCAACAGCAAAGACATCTGTAGCAGTAAGACCCCCCTGAACCAAGAAACAGAAATAGTGTATTAACTATTAAGTAAATGCAAGGGTATATTAAGTATGAAACAAGAGTGAAATATCAAGAAATCTAAACAATTGTTGACATGGAAAACAGAAGTCACGTATAAACCAAAAAAATGTTCACCTATTTAACCAAAAAAGAAAATGCTCATAGGCATTTAATTCATGTCACCACAAAACTCTATTTTTACTTAACAGAGAACAATGAGATGCAATTGACCAAAGCAAGCAAAATTTTCATCCAAGGGCATTGAGTATACTCCTAATCCCCAAAAAGTAAATATTAAAAATCACCCCAAACCCTAGCGAGTTTGCAGAAAAATTTGGAAGCCTTCCTCCTATGCAGGTTGTAGTAGGAGGAGGATGTAACCCCCTCCACACACACACACACACACAAAGAGCCATGTCCAATTTATGGGGAGAATATGTCTCACATCCAATACTTATTTTTGCTTTCCTAAGAGACTATGACTAGAATAGTATTTTATAGGCAGATGAGGCTAAAATGGATCACTCTAAATAGAGAAACCTCAGCATGTTATTAAAAACTGGAAAGAAAGTGAATGTTGACAATGAACGAACAATTTTATCAGAAGAGACAACCAAATTGTGCCTGAATGGGAAAAATCTTAATATGAGAATATGGCCAATGTCTATCTAGAACATGGTTACGAACTTCAAACTAATCAATGCCTATTCTTTACTATGAAGTTATTAATTACATGCCCATCAATTGAAAAGAGAAAAACGAAAGAAAATGCTACCTTCACGATAGCCATTGCTGCAGAAACTGGATCTCTAACTCCAAGAACAGTCCATACCAGTGAGTTATCAGAACCGGCTGGTATAATTCCAATAGGTATAGATATTCCTTCCTTTTGATTGTCTCTACTAAGGAGACCATTAAGAACCTACAAATAAACAATGTCATGTAACTTGCCCATTATTAATGATGTTGTGTGTTAAGAGCCGTACACCTACAAAAGGCACAACCCACAACATCTAATATCCCTGTTCAAAAGATGATGGAGTACAAAACACACCATGTTTGTGACAATACATGGTACATTAATAATTTGAAACAATTTATATGAATTATGAGTAACTAATAAGATTCTTATGAAAGGAACAATTCTTTATTTATAGTGAAGATATACACAACGATGATAGATATCCAATTTGTCTTCATGATAGGAGATCCATCTTCTCCTTTCTTGTATATTCTAATAGATGTTCTCAATTGGATGATTTCTAAGACTGTTAATTGGTATATAATCAAGGGTAGCAAAGCAGGTTCAAATGAGGCTATGATTTTTCACCCCAACTTGCAAATCATAATATTCTCTTGTTGAAGGAGGAAAGCAAACATTTTGGTGATGTTCTCTCCGATCACTGGTTTGAAAATCAATGTGACTAAGAGTGGTATGACAGGTTAAAACTCTGAATCTCTATAAACAGAACCTTTCTGCCAATGGTTTTGCAGGTTGTAAAGTCTTTAAGTAGGCTACCTTAATTATTTGGATGCTAATCCACGGGCCAGGATCTTTGGAGGGATTATGGCTCTCATATCAAATGTTGAGAGAATATTTGAGTAGGAAATATTCTAATCTTTGAGGCTTTCCACATCTCTGTTATCTATCAACCACCCATATCTCTCCTGTACGACAACAACAACCAAGCTTAACCTATTAAGTGGAGTCAGCTGTATAATTAAAAATCACCACTAGGCTTTTATGAAGATTTTTTTTTTTGTCAACTACATTTAGAGCAAAGCTTTCTAACTGGAGTCTTCAATGATGGTCTCCTCAATGACCAAACCACCTTAGGTGAGTTTTTAACGTCATCTACTCAATAGACTTTTATCTCTACCATAAAATGATGATCTCCTAAATGACCAAACTACCTTAGGTGAGTTTTTGACATCATCTACTCTATAGACCCTTATCTCTAACATAAAAAGCTTTTATTTTGTTCAGAATCCTGTCTTTTCTTGAGATCTTCATTTTGGCAAAGAAACTAAAATCTCTTCCACTCATACTTGACTTGACTACTTAAATCAAGAAAGCAGAATGAAGACTTCAGAATTTACCAACGTGTAAAATTGTAACACCTTTTTCCAATTTGAAACTCATTTATAGCCATTTGCTTCATGTTAACAATCCCAAAATTATGATACTCGATCAAAAAATTCCCAAGGATCAGCATTTAATATTAAGTAAGTATTGTATTATTTGTATACTCTTTTCTTAATAAGAGAAGGTGCTAGGGAGAAACAAATAAAAGAAACAAGAATCTAAAGAAAACCTAATATGAAGCCTCGAGACATACTTCTACAACAGCTGATCAGTAACGTATGCTATTGAACATCAGATTATTCCACATTGGCCTCCTTGAACAGCAAGCCTCCTATCACTAAAGTGTATGTGCAAAAGACGGATATGGACTGTGGGAAATCAAATGCTCAAGGGGGCACAGGACACATGACCACAGCTGAGCAAACTACCAGCTTGGCAGAATAGTGGGAAGGAGGGCTGAAATTCTGCTATGATCCATGTGGATATAAGAGCAGAGAGAGCGACAAAAAGAAAGAATCAGTGGTGCAATTGTATAGAGAACCAAGATGATTGAATTTCTGCACTGTCATTGGGTTTTCTTTCCATTCTATGTTAGTTTTCATACTAAAATGCACATACTAGACCCCACATATATCATTTTCTGCGTTGTGTGTGTGAATCTGATACAGTTCCTATCAAAGCAATTAATAACTCCACTATCACATTTAATGTGATGATGAATGAAGCCAGGAGCCACTGGAATTAAAAAGAAATGTGGCCAATATTTTTTGGTCAGTCCTAAATAGCTTATAATCTGGTCACAAACAACATATGAAAGGCTTTTCAGAGGTAAAACACAAAGAAGTTAGTATTTTCATCAACAAAGCAGTACATGGAATAAAACTAAATCATTAAAATAGTGTGCTGACCTCATTGATTATCCCATCACCGCCAACACAGATAATTCCTGGAAGAAACATCAGAAAAGTGGTATACATGAGGAAACATTTAAAGGTAAATAATCAACACATGTTCAGACTATAGGAAAATGATTTTACCATCAGGGCAAGTGCTGATGTCTACACTTGATGCAAGATTTCTGGCATGACCAGCAGATGTTGTTTTGACTACCTCCAATCTAAACCCAGCAAGCTGTCACAGTACATGCCATACATATAAGTAAGAAAGTCACACACTGCTTTACACTATCTTGTCTATTGCATGTCATAAATAAAATAGTGCAAGTACTTCAACTATATGGTTGAATATTGGAATCAGAGACTGAAATGACATAATATTAATAATGATAATAATAGTAATAATATGAAAGAGCAATATGTTGACAGACGTTGAGAAACTACACATAATATAGCTATTAATATAGAATGTCCTGCTGTTTTACACAGTAAACCTTTCTAATTTCATTGCTGATTTGAAACCATAAAACATGCACATTACCACAAGGATGAAAATAACAACAATCATATGCAGGTTATAGAACACAGGAAAGAGTGTAGCATACCTTGAATATTGGTTCCACAATGCCATGGAAAACTTTACTTGAACGCCCGCGGCCCGATCGTGGGTTTAAAATTACAAGCATCTTAGGTGGAGTTTTACATCTAAAGAGCAATTCAGGAGGGGTATCAGTATGAAGTAATTCTGAGGATGCTTGCTTCTTCGAAGACAGTAAAGGGTGAGGAAGACAATTCACGAAACATTGTTGATCTGCAAATCCACCAACCCATTGCAGTGCTTCTTCTATGCTAGAAGCCACAAAGCGGAAATCCTTGCGACTTCGTCGAGATTTTATAAAACAAGAAAGCCCACATGAAGCTTTTTTCAATGGGTACGAGTGCACTGTGAAATGTCTGAGACCAGCATAATAAGAAACCTGTTTAGAACATGGGCTAAAAATAATTAGTCTTCTGGCACCTAGCACAAAAGTATTCAGCCATGCATCTGACATAGAAACATATGCTTTACCGAAATAACATCGTCAAGGTGCAGCAGTTGGGAGCCCCAGGCCAAGGCCTTGCTTGTTAGTTTGGCATCTACGGCGTTCCCGTTGGTGATATCGGAAGTCTGTTGTGCATCAGCATTATTATTTGTAGCAATCTTTCTCTTATCCAAAACGAGTTTTCCAGAGAGTACAACATATCCTAGCAAATCAGACTTCTCATCTCCTCCTCCACCTCCGCCAATGTCAATCCTATGCTCAAAATTCTTGGTTATGTCCTGATCAATGGTAGTAGGCACGCTGCTCTTCCTAGAAGACTTCACTTTGGCACGTTTTTCGGGGAAGACGATAGGAGAGGAGTGCTCCCCCGTTGCTATCTGGGAACACAATCCCAAGCGTCTTAGAGATTGTTGAGGTGAGGAGAGCCTTAGTGCGGATGGTATCTTATTATTAGTATTGGTGTTATTAGTACTACCAGTAGAATTTCGGTGCATATCTCTCATACTACCAGTACCATCAATCTCAAGAAGACGTAAGGAGGAGAACCTAACATGCGCAAGGGCATGACGCAAGGGCTGAGCCACCTTTGAAGGAAAGGGTAAATTCCCCAATTACGGTGGAAGGTTCACAATTAGGGTTTTAATTTGGCACTCTGCAGCTCAGATCGCGAATCGAAGACTGGATCTATAAGCAATCAAATCAAATTGCTCCATAAACTTTCTGAGAGAAAAATTGTCAATCAGCTCTCTTTATCTTAGTTCCACAGTCAGTTGGGTAATATGAAATAAATCTAAAAGCAGTAAATTGTAAATTGGAGAAAAAATACAAGAGTGGGTGAAGGAGAGAGTAACAAACCAAACCAAAGCAGTGATCGAGTCGTGTCGAGCACAGGCCTGATTCCAGAGCTTGAAAAAGGCTTGAACTGTAATGGACGCCCAGGATCCCTCAACAACAACGGACTCACCACTTTCCTTTGCCGTCATCCAAGTGTGTTATGAGTTGTGACAACATTTTTTTTCTTCTTTTTTAATACTAAATTATTCAATCCCAAACAAACACAACACCTGCCACTGTACCAGCTCAAACTCAATAGTAGTTAGTGATCATGTATTAATCCAACTCACTTGAATATCGTGGATTTTCTTTCTCCAACTCACATTATATTTATTAATTATTAGTATTATTCTTGTCAATTTCATTTTATAATATTAACTTAATATTACTTTAAAATTACTTTTAACAATGAGATGATATATGTAGAATTTACTTATTTTTTACATATATAATATTTTAGTCTATAATTAACGTTGAATATTTATTTTACATAATTCAAATTTATAATAAATTATATTTTAATTTTGTACAGATATATATTTTTTAAATATATAAATTATATTTTAAATTTATAAAAATAATTTATATTTTAATATAAAATTATATTTATTTATTGATAATTTATTTTAAAATATTAAAATTTAAATCATAAATAAATATGATAAATAAAAAGTTGAGTTAGATAATAAGTTAAAAGAATTCTTAAAAGTACTCTCATAAAAGCTCTCAAAAAATACTCTCATACAAGTCAGTGATCAATGTTCAATATATAAATAATATATTTTATCTTTAAGCCGAAATTATAATTTATATTAAAATAGTTATTTATATAAAATTTTAATATAATTTATATATTTAAATATAATATTTTTTATATATATAATCAACTCCTATATTAAACCTGAATGTTTATTTTGTTAAAAAATATTTTTAGAAACTCTTTTTTGACGAGAGTTTTCGAGGATTTATTTTAATTTTTTATTTAATTCAAGAATTTTTATTTATCAAAAGATTTATGAATTAAATTTTAATATCAATCCTTATATATTAAACATGTGCAATGGCGTTTTTAACGACTTCAGCGAGAAGATTTTTATGATTTCTTTTAATCTTTTATCTAATTCAATTTTTATTTATCTTAATTATTTATTAATTAAATTTTATTTTTTAAAATAAATTATTAATAAATAAAAATAATATTATGCTATACAATATTATGCCTCACTATAATCACTTGTTATATATTAAAAAATGATGACGCTTTTAAAACTTATTGATATTTTATCTCATGTAATTCAAGGCTAAATATTTATTATGAGAACTAAAATTTAGAATAAATAAAATATACAAATAAATGTTATATTTAAATAAATAAATCATATTTAAAGTTTGTATAAATAAATAATTTCAAATATATAAATTATATTTAAGATTTATGATAACAAAATTATATTATAACGTAATATTTTTTATTTATTTATAATTTATTTTTAAAATATCAAAATGTAATTCATAAATAATTAAGATAAATAAAAATTAAATCAATTCATATATATTAAATATTAATCTTTATCTTGTGCAAGAATATTTTTAGGGAATTTTCTTCAAGAAGAAGATTTGTAGAGATTTTTTTGACTTCTTATTTAATTTAATTTTTATTTATTATAATTATTTATGAATTAAATATTAATATTTTAAAATAAATTATCAATAAATAAAATAATTTTTTATAATAATATAAATTATTTATCATAA